TGCTCGCGATCCTCGCCGAGCAGTCTCGACGCGGTAGTTGTTCTTTTCGTAGCTCTCGATCGTCGTTGTGTTTGTCAGCACCAAGTATATGTGGTAGATGGCAAATACAAACAGCGCAATAGCAAACGCACACGAACTGATAAGCAGGAATATGAGATTCATGCTGATCTCCGTATCAATGTCCATGTCTGCTAGACTGCGAAAAAAGAATATTAGTGAAGTCACCAGTATCAGAGTGCAGTACAGTGCGCAGTATACAACAAACAGGATAAACGCCTTTTGCGTGCGAAAGCCGACACAGTTGTTTAGCCATGGGCAATGGTGGTCCATTTTCAGCACACACTCGCCGCACACGCTGCAGTGGTGCGTCCGGTCTGGCTTTGGCCCGTTGCATTTAAGGCAGAACCGAGGCTGTCCGTTTTCCCGTACTGTAATAGAGTATACTAGCTCTGCCCGCCGCAGTTGCTCGGCATTGAGTGGACTCTCGTCATCGCTGTATGCATAGTCACTACTGCTATCGCTGCTGCTTCTGCTGTCATCGTCGGCATAGCGCTGGCGCCCTTGTGGTGTGCGCCGAGAAAAGGCCCTGGTCGGCTGGCTGTGACTAGAGACTTGCGTGTACTGGTCATGCGACTGTACTGGTGCTGGTGCCGCCATGCCAGCAGGGGCTCCGGGCTTTCGATACACGCAAACGGCGTACGCCCATATCGACAGCAACCACAGCATAGTCGTCGACCCAACGCACAGGACTGATAACCACCAGTTGTAGCTCGCTATAAGCGGCACGACGGTGAGGGCGTATGTATACCCAGACCAAAGCATCAGGCCCAGCGTGAACAGCACCGGAACCACCCCCAGCGCCCGATACACTTTGTGTCGATTCCACAAGAGCGAAAACATGCGAGACATTTCAATTGCAAACGAAAAAAAAAAAAGAAAAGAAAAAAGCTAAAAAGAAAAGAGATGTCACAGGACGATTGCTACTATCATTATCCATAAAGCCGCAAAGAGCCGATGCCGACTCGCGCTGTTTATGAGCACGACTCGGTACCTGCTTTCCCATGACGACTCTTCGAGCATGCCCTGGTACCTGCTCTCCCACGATGACCCGCCTCTGACGCCAGCAGACAAAAAGCCCGGGATACTTGGCACTGCAGCCGCGGCGGCGTCTGTAGCCAGCAGCGGAAGTCCATCTGGGCCCATGAGTCGGACCCGAGTCCGCAAGTGCTCGTTGGCTACCAGCAATCCGTCGCTATCAACTGTCATCGTCTTTTTGTAGTCAAGCTTGTGTCTAACCGGGTCGGCCATGTAGTACGAGCACCGCTGTATGCACATGTGCATGAGCTCCTCGGGCTCGTTGTGGCAGTCTTGGTTGCATTTCTGCGTGCGCTTGAGTACGGCCTCATCTGACAGACGATGCGTCGTGGAAGC